TGTGAAGACAGGAAATTTTTTTGTAAAAATTCGAAATTCAGGAGAATGTAGTCGAGGGATATTGGGAATGGAAATTTGTGTTAGGGAAAAGCAAGTACAGATTATGATAGTATCAGAACACAGGAGAGAAGACAAGTTTACAACTTGGAAGCTGGTGAGAGATATCAGAATGAGCATTGTTTGTTCCCACATTTCTAAGCCATACAGCTCCACTAATTTTATTCGCAGACTTCAAGGAAGCTGTGGCAATGGTTTGTGGAGTTAAACCTTGTTTTTCCTCCAGATTATACAAAGTAAATGGCAGGAATGAACTGTTGCAAATCAGCCAATGAGTGTTAGTCTTGCATTGATATTTAATCTCAAGACTGGGTGTTAATGTTTCTGTGTCCATATTTTAATCCTAGTCGCTGAGTTGGGAAGATTTAAGTCTGACAGAGCTTGTCAGAGCTGATGGGATAATTTAGAGGTTTGCCATTGTCACATACAAGAGATGCCTGTTCTCTGGCATCTTAATTTTAACACAAGGCTTAATGTTCTTAAGCCAACAACTAATTCATCAGAATTAAGAGCAATGAACACGTGTACTTTTCCTTGTTGTAAAAAGTTAATAGAATTGTTAGCATACACGAGAAGCAGAAACAGACTACTTAGCTATTTGCCATCGAGCTAAGAGCATGAAAAAAGTGTTTGCCTTGTTCCTTTCAATTCTGGTATGAAATGTATATATATGTGTGTATATACTTTTATATATATATATATATATAAATGTGAGAGAATATACTTTTAAAAGAAAAATAGTATAAATTTCCAATTTTCATTGTGACATTTTGTTTTTTCATGAAACAAATTTTACTGAATACTAAAAAATTCTTTTTATGTTGACAAATATGTGACAAAATGTCACTTTTAATATTCTGTGATAATAGTTATCACTGTTTATATTCTGTCATGTGTTTAGTCATAATTTATCAAACCTTCTGCATTTGGGCTCATTATACATTTTACATTTTATTCTTTATAGAAGAAAGTCTCTGGTAAACCTCCTTGTCCCTTTATATCAGTAAACTTACACAATTATTTCTCTACATTAAATTCTTAGAAGTTGAATAGCTGAGTCAAACTGTCTAAAAATAGCATATATTAAAAAGCTACCAATTTGCTCTTCAGGAAGACACTGTGAATTTATACCTAAAGTAGGAGTATGTAAAAATCTTCTGTACCCATATTAATATTGTATTTAATTATTTATTTATCCCTGCTTCCTTGTTGAGAATTAGATCCCTATTTAGTTTTTTATTATTAGTGTACTTGACTGTTTTGCATTGTGTTTATTGGAGATTGCTCTTGGTGGGCTGTGACCTTTCCCCCAGGGTCTGTGTGTTGGAATCTTGGTCCCCAGTGCATAGATGTGGAAGCTGAAGGATCCTTTAAGAGGTGAGGCTTAGTGGGATGCCCTGAGCAATGGGGGAAGTTCCCTCAGAAGGGAACTGGGCCAGATCACACCCACTCTCTCTGGGACCCTGTGTAGAGATGTGCTTGCTGTCACCCACTCTCCTTTGCCATTGCCACGTGCTGTGATGTGACAGAGCAGAGAGGTGTCTCACAGAACCCAGGAGCCATGCCATTGGAGCTACATTAGCTTATTTTCTTTGTAAAGTTGGCCTGTCTGAGGAATTTCAGAATTTTATAATATTTTTACATTAACTAGCTTTTCATTATTAGTATGAAGTATGTGCAGTAGGCTACTTATGAAGAAGAGTCTTATTTAGTTCACAGTTTTGGGGGTTCAAGGAATGGTAGGAGTAGGTGTAGGAGCAGGTACACAGGTTAGATTGAGAGAGTTGTGTGGAGCCAGGCTTTCATAACTCACGCTGGAGAGAACTCACTGTGGGACACCAGTGTTCCCTTCCAAGAACATGTCCTCAGTTGCCCTAAGGATCTCTCACTAATCCTTGCCTCCTGAAGTATCCATTAGCTCTTACATCCTTCACCAGGGAGCAAGAACCCTACATGTGGACCCTGGGTAGAAAGGCCACACCTAAACCATAGAAGAAATGTATTTTTTAACAAAAATATTTGCTTATTGACTTATTTGAGAAAGACAGAGAGAGGGAGCAAGCACTTCCATCCACTGGTTTGCTCTTCACATGTCAGCAATATCCAGGGCTAAGCCTAATCAAAACCAGGAGTCAGAAACCCTATATTGGTCTCCCACATGGTGATGATGACCCAAGTATATGAACTATCACCTGCTGCCTCCCAGAGTCTGCATTAACAGGGGGCTGGATCAGAAGTAGGAAGTAGCTAGGACTTCAGTCACATGTTCTGACATGAAATGTGGATGTCCCAAGCAGTGGCTTAATTCATTGCATTACATTTGCCCAGGATTTATTTTACTATCCTATTAAATTGCTTCCTTGTGTTCTTTGCCCATCTCTCTCTATGTTTTTATCCTTTATCAGAGATATTTACTTCATGATTTAGCTTATCATTGTATAAAATCTTTTATTCCACTCCTAATTTGAAGGGTGGTGTTCTAAACTCAACTTATAAAATTTGAAATTTTCAAATTCAAAGCAAAGTGAACTTCCTTTGTTGTTTCCAGCTGGGGTTCTAAAGCTCACTAAGACCTGCCATTGTCTTACATAATATAAGTCCTAGATTTCACAGTTTTTTTTTTTTTTTTAAGATTTATTTATTTGAAAGAGTTACACAGAGGCAGAGAAAAAGAGAGGTCTTCCATCTGCTGGTTCACTCCCCAACTGGCTGCAATGTGGGGAGCTGTGCCAATCTGAAGCCAGGAGCTTCTTCCAGGTTTCCTACCCAGGTGCAGGGGCCCGAGGACATGGGCCATCATCTGTTGCTTTCCCAGGCCATAGCAGAGAGCTGGACTGGAAGTGGAGCAGCCGGGACATGAACTGACGCCCATGTGGGATGCTGGCACTGAAGGTGGCAGCTTTAGCTGCTATGCCTCAGTGCTGACCCCTCACAGTTTGTTTTTCATAAACTTTTTAAATATTTGTTTTTGTTTGATGTTTTTACTAATTTGAAAAGCAGAGCGACAGACACTGGAAAAGATACAGACATACAGGTGGACAGAAGTCTTCCATTGACTAGTTCACTGCTCAAATGCTCACAACAGCAGCTGTGCCAGGCTAAAGAATTCCATCACATATGGGTAGCAGGTGTTCAACTACTTGAGCCGTCATCTGCTGCCTCCCAGAATATGGGTTAGCAGGAAGCTGGGATCAGGAGCTCGGCTTGGACTCAAACCCCGACACTCTGATAGGGGACTCAGGTATCTCCAGTGATGTCCTAACCACTATATATGTGAAATCTATTTTAAATGTTAGAGTTTTAGATGTCTGAACACTCTTTTCCAGTTGCTAAAGCACTTGACTCAGTAGCATTTATTAAAGATCATCTTTTTCTCATTAATCCATACTTAGAATGGTTCTGGTCTTTGAATCCTCTTACGTTAATCTGTCTCTATATTCTATCCTCATAATTACACTGCTCTAATTCTAGATATAGGATTTTTTATCCCTTACACAAAGAATGGTTATGATTGCATTTTGCCTTCCATATTCAGATTTATGAAAAATGTTTTAAAAATTGTAACTCAGACTATCCTAAGCAAATGGTTTAAGCTCATGGACTACAATAGAGTTTGGTCTCCATAGCTGGAGGAAAGCATCCATGCAGTGGAGCCTTTAATAGGGCAACAAGAGAACATTGAGAAGGCCTGGTCTCCTTGAACACATCAGCCCCTATTCTCTCACTCTTCTCTTTCTCAGGGTGGGCGAAATGGCTGTTGACAGCTCTGGACTGTTGATTTTAAGCCCTTGGCCACCAAATAGAATTAGTGGGCATTCATGGCCTGGTCACATCAGGTAAGCATCCAAACTCTACTGGTAGTGGTAGAGTAGTACAGAAAAATATTCCCTACATGTAACTCTGGAAGAAGAGGAAATAGAGAAGTGGTCCTTCTATTACATTGTGTTATTTTTGTTAGATGGTCTGACAAGCAAGAAAATTCAGTTTTGTTGAAAATAACCCAAAGAGCATATTTACACCATTTTTATAAAAAGTTCATGGAAAAATGGAATCAAAAGATATTCGGGGCCAAAAAAATTGAAAGCTATGCATAGTTTCTTTCATAATATGCATCTTCACTGAACTTTTTTCCAAGAACACTCCTGTAGCTGCATAGTGTTTGATCAACATTGAGTTTATCTTTTTCTTAACTTGTCAGTCTTTAGGTGAGGACACCCAGGCTCATACACCTGGGCCATCCTCCACTGCCCTCCCAGGCTACAGCAGAGAGCTGGACTGGAAGAGGAGCAGTCGGGACTAGAACCCGGCACCCACATGGGATGCCGGCACTGCAGGTGGAGGATTAACCAAGGGAGCCAAGGCGCCAGCCCCTGGAAATACTCTCATATATTGTTGCTTCCTAAATGTTTTTTATAAATACATTGAAAACTAAGGCTATCATAGAGATGTGAGAATTTAGAGTGGGATAGAAACTAAGTTACTCATGTTTTTATAGTGACTCATTTTTATATGCATAAGTATTTCACGTAACTACATTTACAGGGAATTCTCCATAGGCCTTTATCTCTTTCTTTACTATAGTTCTGCCAGTTACTCATTTGCTAGGTGGTTTGTAGGTAGTGTAACCCATATTTTCTTTCTCTTTTTTAACTTTTTTTTTCTCTCCCTGAAGTAGGCTCATTGAATTAGAAAACTAAACATATATTAATTAACCAATGTTATATATATTATTTCATAGTAGAAGATGACACCACTAAGACATATGATTTTGCCAGTTTTATGAAAATTATACTTATTTGAGAGACAGAGTTTCTGTCTGATAATTCACTGCCCAAATGCTCCCAATGGCCAAGGCTGGGCTGGACCTAACAGCTGGGAACTCAATCCAGGTCTCCTGGATTGGCAGAAACCCTACTAATTGACCCATTACCATTGTCTTCCAGGGGTTGCACCATCAGGAACCTGAATCAAGAGCTGGACTAGATGCTGAATCCAGGTACTTGGATATGGAACATGGGCATCTTAACCAGTGTCTCAGCTGGTAGGATAAACACCCACCATGGTATTGCCAGTGTGAGTACAAATCAAATATGTAAATCAGCTTAAACATCTAAAGGCTTTTGAGGGTTTTTTATTCTCTCTGGAAAGAAATGCCATGAGATTATCATGCTATGAATTTGGGATTTAGATCTAGCCTCTAGAGCAGAAATAGTCAAAAATATACTTTGATTTACAACAATTTAATTGAACTACAGTCTGTGCACAGCATACTGCACATATGGGTACAGGCAAGTGAGTTCGGCCACACACACACACACCTGTGAAGCCATCTGTCATTCCCATTTCTTCATGCCATTTTAAAATCCCTCTCTCCTGTCCTTGCAACATCTTCTCCTCAGGCAACCACTTCTCTGCTTTCTGTCACTTGAATAATTGTAATTTTCTGGAGTTTTATTTAAATGGAAACATAGAGTATATATACTTGTTTGTTGTCTTCTTTCACTCAGCAAAATTTTGCAGCTCACCCATGTTTTTCTGTATGTCCTTAGTTCATTCCATCGCATTGCTGAATTTCATGCCACCGTGTGGATGGATATACCACAGTTTGTCCACTACATCTTCCTGGATAATTGAACAGTTTCCAGTCTGGGGCTTTGCAGAGAGAGAGCTGCTGTGAACTTCACACATAAGTCTTTGTGTGGAAGTTTACTTTGTTCCTCTTGGGTAAATAATGAGAATTCAAATGATTGGATCATACAGCACATGCTTATTTTTATACAGCACATGCTTATTTTTAAGAAGCTACCAAACTGTTTGCTAAACAAGTGGGTGGTTTATTATTCATTATTGTTTGTTTATTCATTAACACTACCCCATCCATGTTGGTCATTTTAACATGTGAAGTGCTACCTCATTATGGTTTTAATTTGCATTTTTCCTCATGGCTAATAATGTTCCAAATCTTCTCGTATGCTTTTATCGTCATCCAGGAAAGTTTCCTTTGACTGCTATAATGATTTAACACAGGGCTGGGTATTTCACACAGTAATTAAGACTCCGCTTAGGATGCCTGCATCCTGTATCCGAGTCCCTGGGTTTGAGTCTTGGCTTTGCTCCTGATTCCAGCTTCCTGCTATTGCACGCCTAGGAGACGTGATGGCTCAAGGAGCTGTATCCCTGCCACTTACATGGGCATCTGGATTGAACGCTGGGATCCTGGTCTCTACCGACCCAGCCCTGTGTGTGTAAGGCATTTGTGGAGTGAACCAGCAGACGGGAGCTCTTTCTCTTTGTGTTTTCTTTCTCTCCCTCTCTCTGCTCCTCAAATAAATTAAAGAAATAAAATAATTAACCAACATAAACATATGGACTTAAAGTAAAAGTTCTGTCAGAGTTCTGGCAGCCAGATGTCAGATGTCAGAAATGAGCTTCACTGGGAGGGAAGTGTCCGCAGGGCTGAGCGCCCTCCAGGGGCTGTGGGAAGAACTGAGTCCCTCGAATTCCTTGGATTAAGGTCCTCTCTCCATCTTCAGTTTGTGACTGCACATCTGTCCTCTCTCTCTTGCTTTGGTCACATGGCCTTCCTCCCTTTTACGATTGAAGCTTCCTCTGCCTTATTTAATTTTTTTTTTTACTATTTTTTTCATTTATTTGAAAGAGTGTGTGTGAGGGATGGGAGGAGAGAGAGAGAGAAAGAGAGAGAGAAAATCTTCTGTCTGCTGGTTTACTTCCCAAATGCCCACAACAGACAGAGCTGGGCCAGACTGAAACCAGGAGCATGGAGATCTCTCTGGGTCCCCCTGGTGGGTGATAGGGACCCGAGGACTTGCGCCATCCCCTGCTGCCTCCCAGGATGCACATGAGCAGGACACCAGAACTGGGGGCATGGCTGAGGCTTGAACAGGCACTCCAGCATAGGATGTGGGTGCTGACGTATCACCTTAACCCCTGCCAAAGGCTCTGTTCTCTGCCTGCCTCTTTAAGGAACATGTGATTGTACCTAAGGCCCACCTGGACTAATCTAGGCTGATCCCACTGTAAAAATATCCTTAAGTTAATCAACATGTGAAGTCTTTTGCCACATAAGGTATATGCTCTGGTTCTGGAGATGAAAATGTACATGAAAGTTGAGAAGCCATTCTGCCTGTAACACCATTTGTTATTTTTTTTGGGGGGGGGGCAAGGATATATTCAAATCTGTGTCTCATTGTTCCTCCCTGCCCCCTTCCCTCAGTTGAGTTTTATTCTTTTAATTCAACTTTGAGAGCTCTCTATATATTCTGAAATAAAATTCCTTTATGAGACACATACTCTGCAACAATTTTCAAGTGTGGCTTTTAACTTTATTATCCTAAAAGTGTCTTTTGAAGAACAAAAATTCTTAACTTTGATCGAGTTCAATTTACCAATGTTTTCTAATATGGATTATGTTTTTGGAGTCCTAAGAAATATTTGACACCTTAAGGTCAAGAAGTTTTTGTTCTGTTTTCTTCTCCTAGAAGTTTTGTGGTTTTAGGTTTTTACATTAAGAGCTATGATCCATTTTGAGTTTTTTCATTTGTGTTGCAAGGTATGAATCTAAGTTTATTTTCTTATAAATAGATGTCCAATTGTTCTTTCTTTATTGAATTATGTTTGCATACTTGTCGAAACCATTTGTTTACATATGAATGGAGCTATTTCTGGATTTTTCTATTCCATCCTGTTGATGTACGTATCCTCATGCCAATGTCACACTATTTTAGATTATCATAGCTTTATAAGTTTTTAAATCAGATGATAATAACCATCCAATTTTATTCTTTTTCAAAGTTGTTTTGCTAGTATATGTTCTTTATATTTTCTTGTGGATTTAATATTTGTCAAATCCTGTCAGAAGGAAAACCTTAAGATTTTTATGATTGTATTGAATTTTAGCTCATCTGAAGAAAACTGACACCTTAATAACATCAAAACTTCTGACCCACAAACTGAGAATATCTCTTTTTTTTTAACTTTTATTTAATGAATATAAATTTCCAAAGTACGATTTATGGATTACAATGGCTTCCCCCACATACCATCCCTCCCACCCACTACCCTCCCCTTTCCCACTCCCTCTCCCCTCCCATTCACATCAAGATTCATTTTCGATTATCTTAATATACAGAAGATCAGCTTAGTATACATTAAGTAAGGATTTCAACAGTTTGCTCACACAAAAACAAAAAGTGAAAAATAATAGATGATTTTTTTAAATGATGATGAAATCAGATCAGACCTATTGTCATGTTTAATCCCAGTGAGAGTCAAGTTGGGAATTGATAATTTTTTTTTTACAGAAGATCATTACAGAGGATCAGTTTAGTATACATTAGGTAAAGATTTCAACAGTTTGCACCCCCATAAAAACACAAAGTGAAATATATTCTTTGAGTACTCGTTATAGCATTAAATCTCAATGCACAGCACATTAAGGACAGAGATCCTACATGAGGAGTAAGTGCACAGTGACTCCTGTTGTTGACTTTACCAATTGACACTCCTGTCTATGGCATCAGTAGTTTCCCTATGCTCTGGTCATGAGTTTCCAAGGCTATGGAAGCCCTCTGAGTTCTCTGACTCTTATCTTGTTTAGACAAGGTCATAGTCAAAGTGGAGGTTCTCTCCTCCCTTCAGAGAAAGGTACCTCCTTCTTTGAAGACCTGTTCTTTCCACTGGGATCTCCCTCGCAGAGATCTTTTGCCAGAGTGTCTTGGCTTTCCATGCCTGAAATACTCTCATGGGCTTTTCAGCCAGATCCGAATGCCTTTAGGGCTGATTCTGAGGCCAGAGTGCTATTTAGGACATCTGCCATTCTATGAGTCTGCTGAGTATCTCACTTCCCATGTTGGATCACTCTCCCCTTTATTTGAGAATATCTCTTTATTATTATTATTTAGTTCTTGCATTTCACGGAACAATTTTTTAGCTTTCCAAGTACGAGTATATGTTAGTGTATATTATTGATCTGTACTAAGCATCACCAAAGAAAATAAGGTCACAATGCCATACTAAGACTTTAAACTTTCTTCTTCATTCCTCTGAAAGTGTATTCTATTTGGCTGAAATATATCTTTTGTCTTTTGGGATATATTTATATGATTTTTGAAGTGTTCTGTCCAAATAGAATAAATGTTATTATTCTTGATTTCTACAGCATTTTACATAGTCCATTTCCTATGAGTATTTTAATGTTAAATATATAATTTTCACCTATCTTTGCATCATGTATTTGATAAAGAAACTTGGGTTGAATGGTTTAACAAACTTTATAGGTTCACAGTTAGTTATCAACCTTGGGACCTATGATTATATTCCAGTAAATGACCTGTGACTTATACCATTTTGTAGGCTATGAATTAGGACTCTGGTTATGTTCTGTATGTACATTCTCATTATTTTAGGAAACATCACAAGATTTCTGAATATTACATCAATACTTAAAATATAATTGCCAAAAGGTAACAAGAGCTTCACATAAATGCCTTTTTTAGTCCAAATCCTAAAATGTGTTAGATATTTGTGTGTCTTTGTATCTTGTCACTATAATAATAAGCATATCTCTTAACTTTTCTTCAGTTTAAGTACCGTAAATCATCATTTTTATTGTCATAGATTTTTACAGGTTATCATATGAAATCTGATAATTGTCATGTGTCTTATCACGAATATCCACTGTATAGTCATCCCTCTGGCACTTTATTAGCACACTGGTTTTTCCAAAGAAATAATAAAAATGGGAACTCATACTAGCTAACAGCTAACTAGTTTGAACTATTTAAATATCATACATTTTAACTTATTTCAACAAGTATTTGATAACATTTGTTCCTTCAGAAGCTGTTTGATTGGAGTTGAATATGTCCATATGCCTGAAGTTTGAAATATTATGTCACAATGCATTTGAAAAGAATTAAGTTCTTCTCACTAGACATACTTTCTGTTTTATAAATTTCAAGATAAATGCTATTTCATGTTGTGGCATCTTATAATGTTTCCAAGGTAATGTGATTCTCTCTTTAATGTGGTAACTGTCATGGTGAAATGACTGATCTTTTTGTTGTCGAAGGTTATTACTGTTTTTATACGACTCTGGTAGCCAATCAATGTTTCTCACTTCATTATCATGCTCAGACCCTTATAATATCATTTAATACAGGATGAAAATATTTGTCCACTTTTGGTTTGGATGTTTGTGACCATGAATGATTATGGGAAATCAAATGCAGTTGTTAAAAATGGGTTTTCACTGATGAATAACAAAATTCCTCAGAGTTATAAGTACATGGATTTTTAATAGGTGCCTTGATTTGATTACCATCAGCTATTTGTAGTGTGTTCCAGTTGCTGCCATTAAATAACTTAAAAAAATACTTTTTAAGCCAAGACTTCTCAGACTTTTCCAAACTAGACAAACTTTTATTTAAACATAAATTCAAATTTATAAAATATTTTAAAAATTCTGTTTTCAACATTTAGCTTATTTTGGAGTTGCAGACTAATTTTGTTGTGCTGATTTTTGCTAAGTTTAGAAATGAAAAATTTAAATATATGGCAGGCAACTTCTAAAGCACTTAAATGGTCCATTATTAAAGGGGCTGACTAATAACTAGACACTGACTTTGTCTACACGTGTACATCAGAGCACCTCTAAAAAAATGAAATTCCCCACATTTTTATTTCCCTGTAAAACAATGATGGACTTGTTCTTGACCGCTTTCCTTTTTTTTTTTTCCCTTGAGTTTCTATGTTTCTTTGAGGGCAAATCACTTGAATGGCTGTGCTGTTCAGGTTGATAGTATATGATGATTTAACCCTCAGAACTCTAGCACTGTGTATTTTGGCTTCACTCCAATTCACTGTGAGACACACATAGGGCACACTTTGTCTTTGCTGAAATCATGAAAACACTACGATTTCAGGTTCTGTACAACCTGCTCCAAAATAATAAACTGCCCTATCTACTGCCTTCACTCATGAGCCTATAAAATGTTCCCCGTGGTTCTTTTAAAATTAAATTGGGAATTTGTCCTGTCAGTGGATGTCCATTTCAGTGGATATCATATAAATGTGTGGCTTCGTGTGTTGTTGTTACATTCCTCTCAGAAGTGGATTTTCACAGGAAACTAGGCCTAACGTCACATGGATTGTTCGTCCTGCCTCTAGTTTTTCCCTGAGTGTGTAAAATTGAACATACAATTACTTATTTGTACTCAAAGTTACCAAGCAGAGTTTCAAGCCGAGAGTATGTAGCGTATAAAGCAGTCTCTTTTGTTAGCATCTGAAAGTGGAAGCCAAACTGCATGTAGTATAAATGTTAAGATTAACAATGTTTTGGGAGCACTTTTCAAAGAAATCTTGAGATTGCATTTATAACTAAGTTTAGATCAAAAGACTTGCTTGCTTGAGGAGATCTGAGCGGTAAGGACACACAGAGCCTCAGGGGTAAACCAGTTGGACATAGATAAAGTTTTCAAATGATTAAATTCAGTCTACTTTTTTTTTTTATTTACAGAATACCAAATAGTCTGTTTTGTGGGCCTATTTCATAGTTCACTAAGGTGTCATTAGAGAGAAAACCAGGGAATGACAAACATTACTTTTGAAATGTAGGAAATCAAATTGAATATGTATTACCACTGTTAGTGAAAGAAGGGGTGTTTCTATTTTGAATTTTTCTTGTATGCTCAACAACATTTACAGTAACTCTTATATTTGAGGTATTTTGAGTATTTTATTTTAAAACTACCCGAAGGTACCTTTGGCCTATGTAGACATTTGTATTTCTTTTTATTTTTATCTATATTTGGGGGCAGGAGAGAAAGAGTAAGCTCACATATATAACATAGATATTACCTATCTTTTTATTGATCATTAAAAATTCAGAAAACTTAATTTTAAATATCTATTTTGATGACTAATTTTTATATATCTCTATATGTGTTCAGGTATACATAATAAATATTTTTTGTCTCAGTAATTATGAAAATATGTAAAATCTATAACTTAAAATTGTATTTTAAGAAATCTTTAAAACTAACTTCAAAAGAGCATCATATTTTTAAAAATAATATGAAGTGTCATTCAATTTATTTAATGTGTATTAAGACCATTTTTCAAAGGAGACCCAGTGAGTTTTTATTGTTTTCTCATGATCTCTCATCCAAAAAGGACAAAGCAGAATCATCGTGAGCATAAGGTTTTGTTAGTATGATGGTTCTTAGCCCACACCAATCTGGAGGAAATATTGATGTTGTAGGCAGAGCACTCTATTTCCTTGTGATAGTACCCACAGGAGTT